AGTCATGTACTTAGAGTCCTGTGTCCTGCCCCTCCCCACCCCAATAAAAACAAATTATGCATTAGCAACAAGTCCTTGTGTCTCTCTCTTCTTTTCTCTCCCATCAAAATGACAAGAGAGTAGGGGCTGGAGATTCAAACATGGAGATTAACATTTAAAAGAAACCAGATTATAGAGACCCTACCTCTTCTAGGCATGGTGGATAATCTTGGTTGTCAACTGACCTACACGTAGAATCAACTAAAACCAAAGCAACTGGGCACACCTATGAGGGATTTTCTTATTTGAAGTGGAAGACCCACTCTAAATCTGAACCACACCTTCTGGTGGCAACACCACACACACACACACACACACACACACACACACACACACGTGCATAGGCGCATATGCACGCACACACTCAAACACACATAAAAGAAGGAAGCTTTTGCTTTTTGCCTGCTTTTCCTCACACTCAACCAGAACATCCATCCTGGTGCTTCAGGTTCTGACAGAGGCTGAAGACCAGCCACTCTCTAGGAACGCCCTGGGACTCCATTATCAAATTGAGATTGTAGAGACATCCAGTCTCACGGTCTGAACAACTACCAGATTCTTGGCCTTTCTGTCAAGCAATAGCCATTGTAAGACTACTCAGAACACAGCCTGTAAGCCACTTTAATAAATCAAACACATGTGTGTGTACACACACAATCACCGCTACCCCTTTGTCTTTTCCTGGTAAGGCAGTATGTTGAAAATGATTAAATAAAACAAACAAAAACCAGCAAGTCAGGAATGCTTGGCTCCTCTCATGCGTCATAGTTTTCACTCTTAAACTACATGCATACAAAACAATTTTTTTGAAAAATACTTAAAAGAAGATGAATTCTTGACAACTGGCTGAACAGCTTGGTGAAAACACTGAGTCATTTCAGCCAATTCTGGATGGGAAGATTATTTATCTGAGAAGACCGAGTAAAGAAAGAGTCAGATACTTTTAATGCAAAGTTTATGTTTATTTCTTATATTGCAATTGATGAACCCTTGAAAAGCAGCCATCCAAGGTTGCCTTTGAAAGGGCTGTACATAAATGGTTACACCGGATCGCTGGCAGAGACCTTTCAGAAACTGTAGTAATTGAGTTCATTATGAGTGAAAGTGCTTGTGGGATGGTTGAGGAAGAAAAGATCAACATATCATATAGAAATTCACAAAGTACTTAAGTTGTACACGGGAAACTCCGAGGTGATTCTGATGGTCAAAGTATCATGAGTGTAGATTCAAGTAAACAATTCAAACCAAACCGTCCCATGTAAGGATTAGTTTAAAAAGGAAAGTAAGGAAAGCACATCATCCCCAAAAGACCAGACCGTGACTTCATCGTATCTGCACACCAGGAACCTCTGACCAAGTGGGTCCCTCTCCTCGTCCATCATTTCAGCTCCTTCCCCCTTTCAGGGTATCGGATGCTCTGAAAGGTTCCTATGTCTTGGTTTATACACATAATATCTAACTCCCTCCCAGAAAGAAAGCCCAAGAAAGCAGGAATCTGCAGTCTTGTTTCTGGTTGAGAGCCCCCTGAGTGTTGTGCAGTGCACCCCGAGTCATGAGTTTCTGATAAAATTTTAAACACAGAAGAGTGAATGAAAAAGCACCTAGTCTGCCCAGTAAACAAAGGACAGCATACACACTTTTCTCAGAAATTGTAGTCATGGCTGGTCACTGGGAGAAATTTTCTTTCCATATAACAATTCTTGCAAGTGATTTAGAGTTTAGGGTGAACGCTGGTGCCAGAACCTTCTTGTTTATTCACTGACTTGGTTCATGGTAGAGCTGTAGCCCTCTCAGTAGCTACAGAGAGAATGTGGTCCACCATGCAGGTATTGTATGAACAATGAGCCAGATAATGGAATGGTGGTGGTGGTGGTGGTGGTGGTGGTGGTGGTGTGTGTGTCTGTGCGCACGCTCACGCAGTAACTGGCTTATAGATTTCCCTCCAGAGGACAATTTGCTTCGTTATGTCAAAGGCAGGCTACTTCTCGCTTCACTTGCCTTGAACCGCCTCAACAGCTCCATGCTGACTACAGAGAAATCTTAAGATCCTTAGCATGGGATAAAATCCCTTTCATAAGCAGATGGCTGTCTCTCTCCTAGCACCGTTTCTTTCCTGTGAACCAGACAGACAGACAACTTCTTCCGTCATTAGCTTCCTTCAGCTGAGAATCCCCCACCTCCTGATCCACGTTTGGTTAAAATTCCACCAAACCTCTCTCAGCACCATTACTGAGGAGAAACCTCCAGCCCCATTTCTCCTGCAGTGTAGTCCCCTCTGCTTTCTTACAAGTCCTACTCTGGGTAGGACACGGTCCAAGGATGCTCCTAAAACTGAGTTTCCCAACCCTCTTGCCGTGTTTTACCCTTTATGATAAAGCCTCTTACAGATCCCCTAAATTCCTACTACTATCTGCCATGAGTGGGAAAAATATCCCCCCAGCGATTCAGTGTCCTTCCATTTTCAATCAAGTCTCTGTTCAGATCATTTCCGATGAGAGGTTGTCTTTGATCAACTTGATCGAAGAGACTCCTCCCCTTCTCTTTTTCCTTCATATAACTATCCTCCTCAATAAAAGGAACATCGCCTTAGCCTACTTTTTCTTTGTGGCAGTGATGTAACATGACATTATGTATTTATTATGTATTATATAACGATCTATTTTTTTTTCCATCTAGAATGTAACGTTTGTGAGCATGGAACTTCCCTTTGTTTATTGCTGCATTTGGGAAGAATGATGAACGAGTGTCTCTGTGTCTCATTACACACTTTGCCTTACAATCTTGCTGTTTTCTCTACTGGGAAGGAGGGTTCTATATAGTTCATCTTGGTTTCCAACCCCTCCCCAGTTTTTTTTTTTAAGTAGCCTGGAACAACTTTGTAACACTCCTCATATAATTGATCTCAACTGAAATTCTTGAGACTATACATACTTTAAAATTCAGAACCATTTTATCACTTACATTAACAGTTCTGCTACAGAGCATTTGAGAAGTCTTGTTATCATGATAAACAACACTTAAGCACCTCAGGCCGCCAAGTTGATCGTGTGGGTGTACTGACTGGTTCTGTGTATCAACTTGATACAAGCTGGAGTTATCACAGAGAAAGGAGCCTCCCTTGAGGAAATGCCTCCATGAGAGCCAACTGTAAGGCATTGTCTCAATTAGTGATCAAGGCGGGGAGGGCCCAGCCCATTGTGGGTGGTGCCATCCCTGGGCTGGTAGTCTTGGGTTCTATAAGAAAGCAAGCTGAGCAAGCCAGGGGAAGCAAGCCAGTAGGTAACATCCCTCCATGGCCTCTGCATCAGCTCCTGCTTCCTGGACTGCTTGAATTCTAGTCCTGATTTCCTTTGGTGATGAATAGCAACGTGGAAGTGTAAGCTGAACAAACCCTTTCCTCTCCAACTTGCTTCTTGATCATGATGTTTGTCCAGGAATAAAAACCCTGGGTTTTAGAATTGTGGTCACGTTGTGTCATGGGGTTCTGTGTTGTGTCTCTTCACAACTGAGAAAACTTGGAATGACTTATTTAATTCATTGATTCAAAGCATCTTTTTTTTAAAAAAAAAAACCAACCAACACAGATGGCACATTTTAATGTATAGTAAAACATGAATGTAAAACTATTTGCTGTATTTTACAGGTGAGCAAAGTTGAGTTTAAAGAGAATTTTGGCAACTTGTTTTCAGTTAGTCATTGTCTAAGCTGTATCTGAACTGGAGCTCTCTCACGATAGTAAGCCATATTCTGCAGGATCTAACTATCCTGATTCATATAGCACAGGATTCTTGTTTGTTTGTTTGTTTTTAATTCTTGTCGTATTCCTTTGTGATGGTGAATCTGAGGAAAGTAATTTTAAAAGTGTCAAAAATCCTCAGGAAACAAGTTCCTCATTATAAAAACAAATTAACCCTAGATAGCCAACACACTTGGTAGATAATTCAATGGAAAATGTATTTCTATACCAGAGGTTTTCAACCTTCCTAATGCTGCAACCCTTTAATACAGCTCCTCATTTTATGGTGACCCGCCCCCCCATCATAATTTTTTGTTGCTACTTCACAATTGTAATTTTGCTACTATCATAAATCATAATATAAATATCTGATATGTAGGTATCTGATATGCTATCCCTGTAACTCATCTGACTCCCAAAGGGGTCATTTACTTTTAAAAGGTTTACAACTCACAGATTGAGAACTGTAGATCTATATCAACTGTGTGTGTGTGTGTGTGTGTGTGTGTGTGTAAGAAGAAAAAGAGGGAGAGAAAAAGAAAGGGAAGAAGAGACTGAGAAACAGAGGTGGATGGAGGGAGAAAGAAAGAAACGGGGTGGAATGGGGATGGTGCTGGGTGCATATGAAGACTAGCCTGGAACTTCATGTAGCCCAGGCTGGCCTTGAACTCATACTGATCAATCTTCTTATCCTAGCTTCCTTTGCGCTGGGATTACACATGTGCACCATCACACCCAGCTCCAGCATTTTGGATGTTGGTAGAGAGAGAACAAGTAATTTCAGAGAATTAATAAATATATAGGCACAGTTACTTGCCCTGGTTTCCTTTGCAGGACCATGACCCTCAGGCCTTAGGTCTGCTGTCCCCTGAAGGACTAAAAAAGGGAGGAGATCGACCATTAAAAGGCACTAGGGTAGATAATACAGAGATAATGTCTTTCGAGAACACTGTAGTTGAATGAATCTTTTAAAGCTAAGCAGAAGTTGACAAAGTGTATTTGTGACGAGAAAAGATTGAAACTGGTTCAGAATCACCAAAAATCACAGTGGTATTTTGGCATTAAGCAGTCAATAATATAAGAGCAATAAAGGAAATGTTTAGAAATCCTTATGCTGGCCTGCAGCCACAGCTGAAGACTTAGTCTGGACCCTCCCACACTTGTGGGAAAGCCTCGTGTTAGGAGCTATACAGCAGAAAGAAAAACAGCAGTGGTGACCACAACATCAACATACATATATGTTCCTTTACATATAAAGCAGATAAGTACACAGACGAGGTATAAGAAATGAAAATAACATATACACTAAAAACATCCCAACACAAACGGGCTTTATTTAAACCAGACAAGTGATTTCTTCCATTAGCATCAACTTCTTCAAGACTTAAGGATATGGAAATGAAGGGCGGGGCTCCACAAGGTAGAGAGGTGAAGACTGACTAAGGAGTAACCTTACGGCCTTTCAAAAAAGCTCTTGGAGGGGAACCCTCAATCCAAAAGATCACTCCATCTCCTGTTACAGCAAGTGCACAATATCCTCATTTGAAAGTGACCCATCTATCTAATGAAAACCTCTCAGAACGAAATGTCCGTTCGTGTGAGTGTATCATAAATTATCTTTAAGTTTTAGAAATGGAATAAAGTACCGATCTCAGTTTAAATACTGAAACAGAAATTTAGAAAAAAAAAAAAAGAATCTTTACTGTTACTACTGAGCATGTCTCCTTTCAACTTTCCTGGGTACAGACGTGTACAAAACAGACCATTATTTCTAACTGACATCTCAACCCAGGACTTCTGCCCTAAGTCCAGTGTGATCAGATCACCTATGAGAACCCCGCCAAATTTACACAGGGGTGTGCTGCCCTTCATACACGGCATACGCAAGGGAGGGCACGTCATCTCACGCTATTTCAATGTAGGGTAAAGTAAATCCAGTGGGACATGACAGTGATGAGGGGGTGAGAAGACAAAGATAGAATTGCATATAATGTTCCATGTTTGCCACTTTCATTAACCCCTTCCTTTAACGTCTTCTCACATGGTCACACTTTTAGAACGGTGGATTATGTGTTTAACTTTGTGTTGAGTTGATCAGCACCTTGATTGACATGAGCAATTACAATGAGGACAGAGAAGAGAGAAATCACAAGGAATAAGAATGGAGGGAGGGGATCTTTCTTTCTTTCTTTCTTTCTTTCTTCCTTTCTTTCTTTCTTTCTTTTGTCCTAAGACATTGAAACAGAAAGGATTAAAAAAAAAAGAGAGAGAACAAACAAACAAAGTGTTCACAGTGCAACATGCCAGATTCGTAGTTTCATTTGAAACCAACAGCAAATCATGAAACGTCATGAAAAATTATAAGTAAAGGCAGAATCTCCTAGAGTAATTACTAAATGAAGTTAAAATTACCACACTGATCAGTAAACCCCAGAAGAAAAATGGACAGCGCTTTCATTTCAGGCCACTCTTAAACATCATACAACTTTTCCAAAGTCAATGCATGAAATTGGTAGGTTTGGCCACGCTGCACAATTTCTTTTCTTTTTTGTTTTTTTAAAAAATACAGTATACAGAAAAAATTCTTATATTCCCCATTTTGTATCATAAGCTTGAAACCTAAGAGCAAAAAGTCTAAGATTTTAAATTATTTACAAATACAGCAGGTTCATCCACTACAGTGGCTTGGTTTCTGTCCAACGGAGATGTCACCTTCTCTGGCATTGCCCGGCAGTCCTCTGCCCTCACGAGGGGCTGTTCCTCTATTGTGTATCAGTCATTTTGAACAGTTCCAACAGGGCCCCAACAGCTCCAAAATAACCCTGCAAAACATGGAGAACACCTGTAGGGTTGTTTCTGCACTGTAACCAAAGAACTATTATGTTCACTAGTTCTAGGAATGCTGTCCTGAACTTTACAGATCTCTAACACTGGAAACAGAATTCATGGCTGGAGATATGGGTTAGAAACAGGGCCTGTGTTTAGCACAAGCAAGTCTACACTGCTGATCTCCCTACACACAAAACAAAAGAACACTGATTTCTCGAAGAAAAAAAAAAAGTCAAGACCGAGTAATCAAATAACTGTCATTAGTCTGAATGGATATTTATCTATATTAATACAGTAAAGTGCTTAAAGCTGTATCTGGCATATGTCACTGCCTTTTTGTAAAACAAAAGCTCATATCTCTATGAAAACGAAGGTTTCTAAAACTCAGCTATTTTAGGAAATAGTGTCTCAGTCACTGGCTTGCTATATGTAACAAAATACCACACTCTGAGTGGCTTATAAAATAAATAAACACTATGACTTCATCTCATAGCTTTCTGGATGTGGGGCAGTCCAAAGTCAAGGAGTTTGTCAAAGCCAGGCTCCTGGCAGACTCTGTCACCACTGTGAACTGGCACGGCAGAGGGGACCTCTTTTATAAAGGCGACCATTCCTTTGCAGAGAGCTCAGCCCTGGTGACCTAGTCTTCTCCCCAGGGTCATCTACTGACACCATCACCTTGGGGATTAGGATTCTAGTGTATGAAGGGAGGGGAAGGAAACCATGACATACAAATATTGAGCTGACTAGCTACCTGGTTTCCAAAGAGCTAGAGACACAGTTACCTTAGAGATGGCATGGATAAGTCAGGACCTTGAATGCAACTGCTGAGTTCTTATCACATGTTAGAAACTATTCTGAGCACTTTCCATTTCAGTGTCAATCACTGTCAGTCACAGGGACAGCTCCTACTGACTTCACATGTGTTGGACAACCACACGGAAGAGCTGCTACTGCAACAGTTAATTCTCCCTTCGGTTTTCTAAGAAATTTCCCATACTGTTTCCCACTGTCGTTCTTCTTCTTCATCATCATCATCTCCAAATGACTTTTTCTTCTCATTTCAGTAACTGTCTACAAATCTCCACTGTTGACTAAGAAAACTTCCATTCTATAAATGACATTTTGGCAGGTGGGGTGGAGAGGGCAAATAAATACAAAGTTTAAAAGGCAATTTTCTACTTGACCAATTTTAAAATACAGACATGACTCATATGGCAGACAACCCAAAATACACATAGGACAGTTAGGTCCCCGTGAGCTTGACCTACCTCATGTTCCAAAAACAGTGCTTTCAGCTGTCCTTTAGACCAAAAGTCCATGGCATATGCTAGCAACTTCATTGAGACCATATTGATTCTGAGAAAGTTCCCAACAAATACAACTCTGTCAATATTCTGAAGGGAAAAAAAGTTACAGGAAAACAATTAAGTCATGGCTTTAAAACAGCGTTCAGTAAAGACCCAGTGTTCTATGTGTGGTTGTGTATGACCATGCTGAGTCAATATTTGTAACTGGAACTATTTCAGCATCTCTAAAACCAACAGAACAGAACACAGAACAGAAGGGTAAGATTTTGGTTGGGCTAAGATGGTTACGTTTTGGATAGCTTGTCACAAACTTGAATCAGTTGGGAAGAGGGGACCTCAATTGAGAAGATGCCACCATCAGACTGTCCGTGGGGCATTTTCATGATTGATATGAGATGGCCTAGCCCACTGCAGGCAGTGTCATGAGTAGTATAAGGCTGAACACATCAGTGAGCGGCATCCCTCTGCAGTCTCTGCTTCGGGTCCTGCCTCCGGATCCTTACTCTGTTTGAGTTCCTCTCTAGGCTTCCCTCGATAATGGAGTTTAGAAACACAGGTCAAGTAACTCCTTTCCACCCCAAATTACCATCCCATGATCTTTATCACAGCAACGGAAAGCAAATGAGGGCATGGGCAAAGCACGAACGATCATGAACAGGTTGCTTTGCTATTGCTTACAGTTATCATGCTAGGTTACATTAGGTCTGATACGTACTCAGTTTACTATACACACACACACACACACACACACACACACACACACACACACAAGCAGCCCCCAAACTCCAAGCATAAGATACTATTAGAACCAACTTATAAATGAAATGAATGGCTGTGGTGCGGTCTGCTCATCTACTGAGTTTGAGATATAATAAAGAAAAAAAATTTATATTCGATCCCTGCCCTCAAGAGCAAGGTAGACTATCCTGCTTGAGCAACAGAAGGGCTAAAATAAGGTCACAAAAATACACACCACTGACGTAAAATTTCCTTCTGAAGCCACACTTCTGGATGCTCCTCTCACCCTGGGCATGCTGTCAGGCTCCCAACCTCCGGTTCCTGCAGCTCTTCCCATTCCTTCCCAGGAATTTCTAAAGCTAAAGACTGAGCTCGGGCCCACCTACCATGCAGATGCTCAACCATGCCCAGTTGCCATGGTCACTCAGATCAAAGGCAACAGAGCCTCTGATGGTTATGGTTACTTTCTGCTCTGTCTACCAGCAGTAATCAAGGTATATGAACATCGTCATTTGAATGCCTCAGATTTTAACAATGTGTGTGCGTGAAGACATTAGTCACTGAAAATATCCTGCGGGTGAAGGACTCAGAGGTACTTTTGGTAAATTTCCATTAGAAATAAAGTCTGTAGCTGCAGACTGACCACACTACAAAACACACAAGGTAAAGAAAAAGCACATCAAAGAGGAATTTAACTAAACTTAGGGAGCTCAAAGTAGAATTTTTAAAGCCCTGTCTTATATTATCCTACCAGGAAGATAGAGAAGAAATCGGCATTAGATTTTGACAAGCACTTCATATTACGAATAAAGGCCAGATGGGTCAAAATTACAAATGTTTAACAAAGAAGGAAAATGAGACGTGATGAAGATGAATACAAGCAAACTCTTATTAAAGGTGATGTAGAGCTGGGGCAGTGGCTCAGCAGCTAAGAGTGCATGCTGCTCTTGCAAGGCACCAGAGGTTGGTTCCCAGCACACACATGGGGCTGTGCAGAACTAACTGCCTATAAGTCCATGTGTTCAATGCTTCTGACTTCTGCAACCATTCGCACTCATGGCCACATATCCTCACACAGACAGATACAAACACACACAAATTAATAAGTGAAAATAATAGAGAAAAACTAGTGTTGATGTAGTGTTGATTCTGGGTGATACTCAGAATCCAATACTTGGATTTGTTTACTTGAAAAAGTATCTTCAGTACACATCAAACAAAATAATGTGTTAATGAATAAAAGAGTTCCCGGAAATCAGCCAGAAAGCAAGACTATCAAGTCCAAAACCCACTGAGTGAACAGTATATTAACAGACTATTCACAGGTGACCCAAAGGGGAATAACTGAGACAGCAAGATTGCTCAGTGGGTAAAGGTGCTTGCTGTTAAGCCTGATGACCAGAGTTTAATGTCTGGAACTGGAACAGATAGCAGAAGGAGAATACGGGCTCCCACGAGTTGTCCAATATGGACCACAGTATGTTTGCACCACCACACACACACAAACACACATACACACACACACAAATAAATACATGCAATTAAAAAAACTTTGAGGAAAAACATTAAGGATGATTAAATATATGAAAATACATAACCTCATTTAAGGTACAGTTTCTTTTTATTAGGTTAGAAAATATATAAAAGGTTAATAGACATCTTGGAAAATTATTTATTATGCTTAGTGGGAATCTAGAACTGCCTTTATGGGAGAAGTTTTATAATATCTGTCAAAATTATCAACACATCCATTGATTCAGAAATTTGTCTTTTTAATTTATTTAATTACTTTGTGTGAGACAAGGTCTCTCTCACTATGCAGACCCGGAGATTACCATACAGATCAGGCTGGCCTCAAACTCACAGAGATCTGCCAGTTTCCACCTTTTGAATTCCAGTATTAAAAGTGTAGACTCCTTTGCCCAGACATTTATACAAAATTATATGTTATATAAATGTGTGCATATATCTTGCAGGATTTTTAAAAAAGATTTATTTATTTTATGTAAATGAGTACACTGCAGCTGTCTTCAGGTGAACCAGAAGAGGGCATCGGATTCCATTACAGATGGTAGTTTGTGTGATTGCTGGGAATTGAACTCAGGACCTCTGGAAGAACAGTCAGTGCTCTTAACCACTGAGGCATCTCTCCAGCCCACTTATTGAAAGATTTTTAATAAAGGAAAAGACTAAAAAATACCCTAAGTATCATTAGAAAAGTAATCAAATCATCCTCAGCATGTAGAATGCTGGATAGCTGTTATAAATGTTGGAGTACAAATTCAGCAATCTTGAGACACACTGTGTAGAATAGTGAGAGGCGATATTGTCAGAGGTGCATATTTGATGCATGTGTAGACGGATAATGATGGTGGACCTAAGTGTCTGATTTTGTAAACTAAAAAGGGGAATAGAGGAGAAAAAAGAAGAGAGATAGATAGGCATGTGTGGTGGTCTTGGGAGCTGATCAGAATAAACCAATGGATGCAGGGGGCAGTGTTCTATTCTTCTCCTTTATGGATGCCCAGAAACTCCCATAATAAAACCCAAGACAAACAAAGCAGGATACAATAGATTGTAGAGGGTAGTTTGTATTGTTTTCTATTATTTCTTAGCTGCTCTTACAGAGGATCTGAGTTTGATTCCCAGTACCCACAGGCTGGTTCACAGCAGTGAGCCCAAGGCATCCAACTTCTTTTCTTCTAATCTCTGTGGGCATTACACCCATGCAGCACACAGACTGTGGGCACCACACACGTGCAGCACACAGGCTGTGGGCACCACACACATGTATGTAGCACGCAGACTACATGCAGGTGAGACACCCATACACATACAAAGAAAATTTTTTTTTTAGAAAAGAGACAAGGTTCTGTGGAGCTTCTTATCTTTGAAAGCACATTATTTCTCCTGTTCCATATAAAACAGAATAAAAACAACCCCAAATCTGAAACTAAGTGGACCTTCTCTAGTGGGGTTCAAGCTGAGATGAGAGTAGAGACGAACTTGCTTCCTTGTCCAAACAAGAACTGTCCACAGCTGCCACAGTGGGAGTTTCTGATGGGGGTAACCTACAGCATTCAGACTGGATTGGAGGCACGCCTCTCAGGAGGAAATTCACATCTGGTACTAATCACCTGCTCAAAACCTGTGCCTAGAGAGGTCACAGGCCCTAGTTAGGAAGCTATTGTTTCTGCTAAGTGGACATAAGGTGCCTATCAAATTCTCTTCTAAGCTGCTGTTTCTGCCCACAGACTAGTGTTAGGGTCAGCTTTAGTCAGAGGAGCTTCTTTTTGCAGACACTCATAACCGGTCACTGTGCTGAGAATAAATGACTGTTGAAAGTTCTGCCATCAATAAGGCATCTGTAGCACTCCCTCTCAAGCTCAAGGAATATAGTGGGAGAAGGAATGGGAAAATGTAAAGGCCAGAGGAAGGGGGATGTGAGGCACTGCTGAAATCCAGGCTCAAGGAGGCTGTTCTCTATTCCATTCACAGCAGCTGTGACTGCTTGCACAAGATTGGCCTAGCATCCTGTCATGGAGTTGGGAAGGACTCAGGTCCCACCTCTCCCTGAGGATTTATACAGTCAATGGCCGATGGAGAAGGGACCGACATTGTCTCTATTGCTGGTTAAGAGCCCATGCTCTTGGAAAACCCTTCACCAATCCCCCTGTTAAAACACCCTGATGAGAATCATTGGTGAAAGGGAGGGGGATTGGGGGGAGTAGGATGGGAAGCTTGGAGTGCTCGGGAAGGGGGAGACCAGGAGAGGGGACAAAAGAGAGGGTAAGGGAGGCAAATAGGATCAAAATATACTGTGTACATGTATGAAAATGTTATAATGAAATAAATGCATTACAAATAATTGATATTTGCTAATGAAATGAGAAATAAAGCTTAAAGTTAGGGATGGGGCTGGACGGATGGCTCAGTGGTTAAGGGCAAGTGACACACTTCTAGAAGACCTGAGTTTGATTCCCAGCACCCACATCAGGGACCACACAACCACCTATAACTCCAGCCCCTGGGCGTCCACCTCCTCTGGCCCCTGGGGACACCTGACTCACATGTATACTACAGATGGGCACACATGTACATAATTTAAAACAATAAAGATAAATGTTAAAACTTAGAAAAAAGTTAAGAAGGAAAGCATTTTATATCATAACAACAACAACAAAAAAAACCCAACCAAACAAAAAACCCCTTAAAAACAAAAACAAGCAAAAACAACTCAGATTCTGGAAACAGTGCTCCACTCTACTACATGGTTAAAGCAGAAGATTTTCAGATCAGCAACTGCAGATAGCAGTGCAAGGGCTGACGACCTTGGTTCCTGCTCTCCTGGGGAAAACCGAGGCTGCCAGTCCTGGTGCTGTCCTGAGAGCCTGCATTAACTCAGCAGCCTGTAAAGGAGCCTTGGTTCCAGAGTAGTCAGTGAGTCAGCCACTCCATCCATCCACGGAACTGAACAGGAAACACCCAGAGTAGTCGTTCAAGCCAGCAAATAACATGCATACATTTTCCAGTGTGAAAAATGATGACAGCCTCACCCAAAGGGATTATGATACGTGTGTTTAAAAGACCTGGCTCACTCCAGCAGACTGCAAGGCAGGAGGTGACTCTGGAAAGCAGGGGAAAGGGCGCACTTGCTCTGTGGGGCAAAGGGTGTCACTCTGCAACTGACCTTTGAGAGCCATGAGCACAGCTAGCCTACCCACATGTTCGTCTCACAGCTTGTTTGGCTACTTGGAAAAACATCCTGCAAAGGTTAAGGCCAGAAACATAAACCCGTGTTTCCAATGAATCTCATGACCAAAGTGGACTTTGAGAAGACATGTCTCGGGAGCCTGATCACCAGCTTCCTATTTAAAACCATGTGGACTAGGGACTTCCAGTAAACACTGACTGCTCTCCAGTTGATAGTATTGTGAGCGGAGGGGTCTCTTTTTGTAACCACAAAGCTCAAATTCAGAACCAGCACTAAAACAGACAGACAAACAAACAGAAATGTCTTGTACCCTAACACTGCTTGGCAGCGACTCTACAGATCCCCTGGAGCTGTAGTTAAGGGCAGCTGAGAGCAACCAGCCATGGGTGCTAGGAAGCCGAACTCAAGTCCTCTGAAACAGAAGTATGTGCTCTTAACTACTGAGCCATCTCTCTAGCCCCTCTAAAAGCCTTTGAAGTACGTGTAAAATTTCAATTATTGATCTAGGTAGTGACTCTAGGTAGCAACTCTATGTGTGTGTGTGTGTGTGTCTATCTGTGTGTATGTGTGTAATATTTATGGCACTTATGATTTGAACTATCTTTTGCATGCATGTCATATTTCTATTTTTAAAAAATTGCATATCAACCTACTGTGGTTTGTATATAGTTCTCCTATTACCTGTTTCATTCTCCAAGTTCTTTTGCTTGTCTTCCCACCACACCTCAAGAAGATTGTTCTACTTCTCAAACCTTGTTTCTTAGAAAGGGGTTGCACTTCCCCTACCCCAAAAGAATTAAGGAATCTTCCATAACTTGTTAATAAAGCTACGTCTGTCCTGAGTTCTCCCTTCTCCTTCTGCCTGGGGCTCTGGCTGGCCTTGGCTGTAGCACGCTCTCTGTGCTTTGATAGCCCTGTACAATGCTGCTTGAACTCCATGCCACAAGGCAACACTGTAAAGAAGCTGAAAGCAGAGAGAATATAGAGTATTGCAGGTGGGAGCATTTTCATGTTTGGTTATTTACACATACACCCAGGGTTTTCGTCACATCTCAGCAGCCCATGGCACTAACAACAGTCAGAAAGAATGAAATGTGGACTGGAATTTTAACCTGCCTCTACAGGGGTATCTATTTAAAAGTAGATCCTATTATCCTTCACCTCAATCACTGTACACTTGTCATGTTCAAGAAGATGTAACCACATAATAAAGGGCAAGTTTCCTGAGAATGACAACAGTTATAGTGCCAAAGATGATTCGGGTGGATGGCCTCAGGTCGTCTCCGGGTTAAAGCCTTACCTCATTCAGTGCACACATCCGAGCAATGGAGCCAATGTTGTTGGTGATGGTGACCAATGTGGCCCGGGCGAGGTCTTCTTTGCTGATGGACTCTCTCTTTTCTTTGCTCATCATGTTGCCAAAGCTATGTTGGGAATATCATTGAGAGTGTCAAAGTCATCCTCGGGCAGGCCCCAAGCTTCCACCAAGGTACTCTGGGAAGCACCATCCAAGTCCCCAGCTACATCAGAGGCTATTACTAGAGTTTCAGACAAATGCAGAAAGACAAAGGAGCGCTTTGCTGGAGAGCAGAGGGGCACCTGAGTCAGAATAATCCTTCTGAGACTCGAACGAGCTGACTTCACTATCATGGCTTATAAGCAGACAGTATTACACTATGAATAGCTGGCTGCCCCCTTCTAAGCAAGGGGCAAAGTAGTATGACCATTAACGGGAGAGAAACTTGTAATGCTTCTAGACTAGAATGGAACAGGAGAAACCGTGGCACTTTTCCAGAACATTCTTTCAAAGTTGCCTTCTTTTAAGCACAAGTATCAAGTGGTAAACATTTCATCGCTTCATTAAGGACAGGAATCAAGTCTGAGATCTGACATGATAGACATTTGCACCAGGCTAGTAGGCTGACATTTATTTAAGAAAAAAAAAAAACACAAAAAACAGACCCAAAAACCTCAGACAGCTAGATGAATGGTCGGGGCGGAGAGCCTGCTTTGTGTGGATTCTCGGAAGCTCCTAGCCACTTGGTCTCTACCTTGATGCTACAGCAGATCCTTGAAGGCCAAATCGTTCATAGTCTCCTCCGTAAATGTCCTTCACCAGCTTATCGACATTGGTGCTGTCGCCTTTAGCTGCCATGTCCAGAGCTTCTTCAAAGGTCTCACAACCAGTCAGCAAGCAACACAGGCCTAGGAATGTCCCACCTCCAAGACTGAAGGAACAATAAGGTTGATTTTTAAGATTTTTGCCTTGTGATATGCCCTTCCAAGTCCCCAGCTACATCAGAGGCTATTACTAGAGTTTCAGACAAATGCAGAAAGACAAAGGAGCGCTTTGCTGAAGAGCAGAGGGGCACCTGAGTCAGGAGCCAGTGTTACAACAGAGCTTGAGGGTGGACTGGATCAGAAAAGAGGGCAGCGGCTAAGATTAATCATTAAGAAAAATGTGCCCCTAAATTTGAGAATAAAATTGAAAAAGACTCTCACTGATTTCTGTTGTGAGACCTTCAGCTAGCTACTAGTCTCAGTGTTGTCTGAGAGCCTACGTTCATGGTTTCTTCAGTTTGGGTAGTCTGATAGCAGCTCGTAACCAGAGAAATGGATGATGTCGAACACCATACGCGACTAAATGCAAATTCACAGGGAAAGAAGCGGAGTGCTCATACTTCATGACTACAGAGCCAACACCCTGGGACGACAAAGCCGACCCATGACTCGGCCCCAGCAGCCAGAATGGGAGGCTGCCTTTCCTGACCCTACTTCTCCAGAGCATTCATCTTAATATAACTCAGAAATTTTGAGAGAAAACTACTACCACCCTAATAAAATAATGTTTCCTACTAGTCTTTGGGAAAGGGTATTGCTTATTTCTAATTACCACCCAATAGTAAAATCGAAAAAAAAAGTCACAAAATGCTTCCGAGGCTTGAGGTATGTTTTTAAAGCTTTCCATTATTTCGAAGGCTTTGGTTCCAAAATAGTCCTGGTTGTCAAATTTAGAAATTAATTGCAGTAGCTGAGAATAAAATCAATTCCATATCAATATCAAAGCTACCTGGTGTCATGAAAACCCAGTTCAGGAAACTAAACTACAATTAGGAAAGTCATGGCAAGAAAAGAGGGCCTCAAGTCTTAACTGCTGGCAAAATGTTCTCTCTGATTTACCAGGCATGATAAATAGGGAAGCACCAACTGCTCACATCAACTGGTTCTGAAGCTTCAAAGAGCCACCAGTTCTGGGGGTGGGTGGTGGGGAGTGCATTTGGACATCAGCTTTTAATTCTAAGGGGGGAAATTAAGTTAAGATTAGAAGAAGAAAATGTATGGCAAATCATATTGATTATCAATAACTGTTATCCAGAAGATACCAGATGGTGGACAGGCACATAGTTTTAAAGTTGCATTTAAAATAAAACTGTGTCATACTCTCAGACTGTGATTCTTACAGAAAAAAAAAAAAAACCCTCCAACTAAGAGTTCTTTTTCAAGGGCCATTTATGTCGCTGTGTACAACCAGGAAAATCTGCCCCTGTCATGGGTGTGGCGTCCTGAGATCACAAGGAAACAAAGAGGCACACACAAAGACAGTCTACCTTTATCTGCACACCAAACTCCAAACTCCACAAGCATGTATAATGAGAGCAGATGCTATGTGTGTGCCGCCTACATTTTCTTGTTTGCTCCCTAAATACTTTAAAAAAAAAAAAAAAAGAGAAGAAAAAAAAAAGTCTTTGTTGGAGTTTTCAGCTTCAACACTTTTTGTCCCTGATAATCTTTGTTTGAGCAATCAGGCATCCACCTGGACCAAGGCATTCAAACACCGAATGTAGGCAACTCAAGACATTGGCTGACTTAGAAAGAAGGTAACTCATCAGTGGATGTGTTGGTGTGACTGAGAGTGGGAAGTAGGAAGAGAAAATGGTTCCAGTAAAGAGCTGGCTGGGCAAGCAGGCACCGGGGCTGCAGACAGGAGGGAGGAACGCACCGCCACAGAAGAGTCAGGCTCTCCTAGCACTTGCTCTTACCCTCAACTTTGGTCTTTAGTCAGGACATTTCTTTGCTTGCAAGTTTCTTTTGGCAGACACGCAGAAAAATTTTCGCTATATCAGAGGCAAAGTATATAGATAGGAAAGGGCACTGGATACTCTCAGTGTTCATCAGTGAGAAGAAATCCTGAGTTACTCATTTTAGACATTGAATTGGCCATGCCTGTTGAGCAGTGCCCATTGATGGGTATTCGTGTGTATTCCCTTAAATTCCTGAATGACCAGGAGAGATGTGCTGTTCCTTCCACTGAGATTACAGTTATTTTCTTCTTTTTAATAGACTATATGCTGTAATGTACTAATTTTCCACTGATTTTCATACTGAGAATTGGACTTGTGTTGAGGGAAAAAATGATTGTGTCCAATCTAGAGAGCAGTGAAAGTATACAAAACCAACCATTTAAAACGTGAAAAAGGAAATGGACACCATGAGATTACATGGCTTCTTACAAACACTTACTGGGGAGGTGGCTCCATTGGTAAAGGACTTAATGAGCAAGTGTGAGGACTTCTTGTCTAAACCCTAGCAACTCTGTAAAGATTTGGGCATGATCATGCATGCACTTACAGACACAGACACAGACACAGACACACACACAGACACACACACACACGCGGGGGGGGGGGGGGGGAGAGGGAGAGCCACCTGTGATTGTGACTCCAGTACTTGGAAGGCTATGACTGGTGTATTGTGGAAAACTCAAGGTCAGTTCTAGTTGCATAGTGAGACACTGCCTCAAAAAACAAAATCACAAATGAAGTCCATCAAAATAACAACAAGATGCCTACAAGAGAAAAAACATTATATAGGGAAAAAACAGAATTAGCAAACACCTAGGGTTACATCTCTCAGTTGATGAGAAGCAAAAAATTTTAAAAGTTCATACCATTTGCTTACATCAGGGGTCCCCGAGGGCTGAGGAAGTAGCTCAGTGGTAGAGAGCTTACTTGACATCAGTGGTTGCAATGTATGGGGATATATAGACCGGGAATATACTGTAGAGAGTCTGCTTAATACCAGTGGTCCTCAAGTGTGTTCATATACTAACTTTTATCACTAACCCTAACTGTGTACATCTGCTATTTTCTAACATGACACAAGAGAAACTTCTAGGCTGGAAGTGGTGGCACACACTTGTAATTTTAGCACTTGGGAGGGTGTGACAGGAGGATCACAAAGGGCATTCATCAATACCTGGAGTTGGCAGGTACTACTTTATGAGTGAAAAAGCCACACCCCACAATTAGCTCCTTAGCAGCTTCTCAAGGTGACATCATCCCTGGAGTCTGCACATCTAAGGCTGGATCTGTGAAATCATTCCATAGCTACTGCATATACATCAACAAAAGTGTAACTACTGCTAACTGTGGAAACTGTGTAGCACTGTGGAAACTGTGTAGTTTGCTGGTACCTGGAGAGCAGCTTTACCAATTGAATTACTCCTAGGAGAAGTCTGTAGCTATTGCAAACTTGCACCTTCGCCAGGAAAACCATCTAAGGTAGATCTGTTGAGCTGAGTATTCCTAGCTTGACACTCCTGTCAGTCCTAAGGAGACCATGGGATCAGTGTTTATTCCTGGCCAAGCACATAAGCTACTATATTCTCAATAAAAAGATGTATGCTATGCCAGGAATTATGGTGCGCATCTTAACTCCCAGCACTCAGGAGGAAGAGGCAGGTGGATCTCTGTGAGTTTGAGGTCAGCCTGGTTTACATGATGAATTCCAGGCCAGTCATGGCTGCACAATGATAATGAATAATAAATAATGAATAATATTAAGTAAATAAATAAATAAATAAATAAATAAATAAATAAATAAATCACAACTAAAAACCAAAAAGGTGTATGGCTGGTAGCAGTTTCTAAACTTATCAGATACTACATTCTGAATCCACATCAACTTCAATCAGAGTGTGTGTATGCACCAGGGTTTCTCAACTGTAGCAACCCTGTTTTTTTTTTTTTGAGGGGGGGGGGAAGGGGACTCTATATATCTTCTGCTATTGGAGGAGCTGTCCCACGCATTACAAAATGTTGTCAGTATCCCTGACTTTAACCTATTACATACTGTTGGGTCCCACCTCCAACTGTAACAGCTAGAAACATTTTAAGACATTGGCTAACATCACCTTCCCCAGGAACAGAGACACTGACAGCTCAACCCCAGTTCACAAAAGCACACTGAAAAGGTAGACCTTTCCTGCTGCGGGTAAAGAGTGCTGCAGGGTTTATAGTGCTGGAAGCAAAACAAACCAAGCAACACCTTTCATGGCAGTCATGAGGATCCTGGGGCCCAGACAAGTAACGCGCCATGTTCATCTGTCAACACTGTGGGCACCAACAATGAATGGTCTCAACACCATATGCTAAGGACACTCTGCATGGTGCTAGTCCTTTTTAGTTCCTCTAAAGATAGGTTTTTGTGGTCTAGCAAGTTGAAGGAATACCTCAAACCAAATCAGCTTAATTTTGTTCATAGTGGGCTCTCTTAATGACTTTTGACAACAGATCCTTCGGCCATGTTGAGCTGCCCATTAACAGGAAGCTGAGCCTGTTCACCCTACATAGGTCATTGAGTGCAAGAATGAATAGATAGATAGATAGATAGATAGATAGATAGATAGATAGCCAGGAAGCATTCCAATCACCAGGGGTCGCAGGGCTGTGTTTTGGTACCCTGAATCCCAACATCACTATGAGCTGTGCTGACTCCTCCTTTACCTGAAACAAGGAAAAACCATTCCTTATAAGCTTCCTGCTTGCTGGTTGGAATATGTTGTCTCAAGTCATCTTTCCTGCCTTGACACCACAAAGGTTCCAAGAGAAAGTTTCTGTGAAGCATCTCTGACCATCCCAAGGCTGGCAGTCTCTGCCATAACTGGCACTCAGTACAAATACCTGCTGGCAAACTAATGTGTGTCACCCTCCTTCACCCAACCTGAGCAGGACACCTCCAGTAGACAAAGACCTTCTGCTATTAACCTTATTCTCCTCTAATGTGTCATCCAGTAAACTGGTTATGGTGGCTTATGTCTATACTCCCAGCACTCAGGGGACAGAGGCAAGATTGAGTCTGGGGTTAGCACAGGCTTATACACTAAGCTTTAGTGTATAAGGATAGCTTTAACTACAAGAGAAGATCCTGCATCCCAAACCACCAACAACAAAAAAAAAAAAACACCCTGGTTTTTGTTAGTATAGGAGCCCAACGTATTTCTTTTAAAAAATGCTTTCAATGATAATAACCTTTTACTGTATACTGCTCATCAAGGAATAAGCATGGTTTAAGCATGTAGAGGCTCTCCTAGAGGAGAGCACGTTTACCTGGTCCCCGTCACTCTTTTGTAGTTGTCCTTGGAGTACACTGCCAGGATGCTGACACCTGAGCCCATGTTAACCAGCAACATAGGGTATGGGTTATCCAAACAGTATGGCTTTTTTTGACACAATTCAGGATTTGTGGGGTTTTCAAAATAGTAACATTCTGGCTTGCCGTTGAAGCCAACCGAGTCAACATAAAGCAGGCCCTGAATCAAACAGTCCAGTTCATCCAGTTTATGCAGCTGAAGGTCCGCAATCTACGAGAGAACAAAACCCTGTTAGATGCTGCACTCTGATATAGTGTTGTGTGGAGTCTGGGAGGTACGTGCTCTCTAAAAGAGTCACTTTCAAAGCAAAGACATGCTCTCAGACCCCTTCAGCGTGAAAAAGTCCCGACAAGCAGCCACCACCAGTAAAATATCTGTGCTACAAAGACAAGAGCTGCCTGGTTGTCTGGAAAGTACTCATTAGCATGTGAGATTGGTGGCCTGGATATGGGCCCTTGTTTTAACTCTCAGAATCTGTGAACATGGTATTATTTGGAAAGCAGATCTTTGCAGATGGGAAACTTGAAGCAATCATCACTGGTCATCCGAATGGACCCTAACTCCAGCGGCAGGAGACACACATACAGGAAAAGTCTGAATGCCAGAGGATGAAGCCTTTGAAGAAGTAAACAGCTATCTGCATGTTGCACCCTGATCTCTGGGGTACCAAGAGCAAGCAGGCACTGGAAAAGGCAAGCAGTGTAATCTCCCCACGGCCTCTACGGAACTGTGTTGATGCCAAGGCTTTAATTGAGGGCTACTGGCCTCAAGAATTTTGATGGAAGAAATCTCTGTAGCTGTAAGCCGCCAAACTTGTGGCAAACTGTCACAACAGCCAAGAGTGGTTAGTTCATTAGAATATTCAGAAGCCAAAAAGAATCCTACACATGTCTGACAGAAGAGAATGTGGGGTCAAAAGGCCTGGGAGTGGAACAGAACACCGTCTGGGCCCACAAAGCCTCTTACTACACTTGGCTCTAGAGCAGCTGGGCCTGGCTTTGAACTCTAGGTCTAAAACTGACTTAACAGAGGTGATCTGGGGTGAATTATTTGGCTTCTCAGTGTTGCTGTGAAGATTCCATGATGCTATCTGCAAAGCACTCACCACACACAACAGGCTTACTAGCGAAGGTGGCCCAGGATTTTCCTTTCAGAATTCTATGAGGTAAAAACCTCCCCTTTTGGGGGATAAAAAGAGAGGGTGCTGAAAAATATGTGGTAAAAAAGCAGAAAGAGAGACTGTTCTGGAGAGGAGGCAGGTCAGCCAGAGGCAAGCAGGAAGTGGGACACCATGGAGAGGGAGGTGAATATGAACAGACAAACCCTCCTCCACCATTTTAGATACAGAGAGGAAAGGGTTTAAAGTTTAATCCCTAATATTACTGCTTCAGGTCCAAGTTGGTGATCATTTTCCCTGGGGGGGGGGGGGAGAGAGAGAGAGAGAGAGAGAGAGAGAGAGACAGAGGAGACTAGATCTGTAACTAGGTGGTAGAGTGCTTGTACAACATGCATGAAGCCCTTCAACCCCCAGTAAGAAGATGAAGAAGAAAAGAAGAAAAAGGAGGAGGAGGAGGAGGAGGAGGAGGAGGAGGGGGAAGGGAGAAGGAGACGGAGAAGAAGGAGAAGGAAGAGAAGAAGGATTTTCACAGAGAGAGAGAGAGAGAGAGAGAGAGAGAGAGAGAGAGAGAGAGAGAGAGAGGAGAGCAGAACCCCATGAGGCTGAAAAAAAGAAACCAAATCAATGAAGGAAACAATAGTTTGATTTTCACACACACATAGAAACAAAAACCAGAACCCCGTGAGGCTGGATTTGTGGCACATGTCTCCAGCGTCAACACTAATGATGCTGACATGGGGAAATCATTAGTTTGAGACTGGCCTTGCCTATTCAACTGCTAAAACAAAGCAGAACAAACAAACAAACAAAAACAAACAAAACAAAAACCTCAAAAACAAAATAATTACCATCACCAACAAAAAATTTGCAAGTAGGTTCTGTTAGCCTTACTCAATGGTTGGAATAAGAAGTTGGGTAAGTTTCTATAAGTGACACTAGTAACTAGCAGACATCTCCCAGTGACTGTTTTCATCTTATTTGCTACTACTATTCATGTGGCTTAGAAAAAAATCAACACAAATGCTAGAGAGACTTACATACTCTACTTAAAAAAAATAAGAAGGCATTTTTGTTGTTGTTAATGTTACAAAAGGTAATAAATAGCGCCATCTTGGAAGATGGCTTGGGCCATAAAGGACTCAAGTTTGGGTTCTCCAGCACTCAAGTTAAAAGGGTAGGTACCATGGCTTCAGACATTCGATCCTAGCTGTTGGGAGGTAAGTACATGAGAATCCCTGGAGCTCACTGGTGGGCTAGCCTTGCTGAATCTGTATGCTCCGAACTCAGTAAGAGACCAGGCTTCAAAAACAGTAAGGTGATCAACACCAGAGTGGGCATTATGTGTATGGACTGTGGGCTCACTCACCCAAACATCCCACACACAGACGTGAACATAAGGTGACAAACACATGCATGTAAGGTGAAATCTCCAAGGAAACTTGACTTCATGTCACTCATCTGGATTTTCCATTTAACAACACTGACAGAATCTCTAGGTGCACTACAGACTTTGAATAGGTCACTGGCCAGGTGACAGAAGTAACACTGATACACAGAAGTAAGCATTCGAAGTGGACCGAAGCAAATGCATCCCAGAAATGTTTCCAAATTTTTCACTTTTATCAAGTGAAATGTTCAAATGAGATACACACAATTTAAATTCTAAGAGGGCAATGCTATGGTATAGAAGTGCCTAGAGGCCTGAGAAACTACTGGGGGGACACACACAGCAGTACATATTATATCTTCTGTTCTCCCTGGTTCCACAGGCTGAAACCTGCACAGGTTTCACAGCCTGGCACTTCAGAGGTGTCTTGGTTCTGTACTAAAGGCTGCTCTTAGTCAGTGCTTAACAAACACTTAGTAAATGATCAGGGAAAGCTGTCACCTCAAGGGTCAGCCCCAAGGTTAAAAGTGGTGATTTTGTCAGCCAGTCTTAGAGATGGAAGTTAATCTGCTTAACTTGTAATCACCGGTTCATCAACAATATTGACAGCCACACCTAGAGCCAACATCGTAAATGGACAGAGACAATGTGTCTAGCTAGATGCCCTGAAACTACCCCGAGAGGAAGAGAAACTTGTCAGGTAAGTGAAGGAAACACATATAGCTTTGGTCTGAAACACTGTTTTCACTTTCCCTCGGGAATGATTTTTCCAAATACAGAATAACCAGAAACCACACACATTTTCAGAAGGATAGACATGTTTTGGAGCCTAAGGTCATGAAAGTCCAAACAAAGGTAAACAAAGGTCACAGGTCACTTTTGTAGAGACCCTGAGGAAAAAGGAGAGTGTCCCTGGTTCAAATAGTGAGTCACACTGATGTCAGAGATTTCCAAATAGGTTATCTAAAATTCTGGATACTTTTCAGTTGGTCTGTACACCTGGATTTACTTTGAGAAAAGCTTAGAACCGGTCTTTAAGATCCCAGCTACAGAGAAATGCTTGCCATGGGCTGGAGTTTCCAGTCATGACAAAGATGACAAAAGGGAGGGTAAGAAAACGAAAGGTGTCAAGGACTGGCTAAAGGTTAACAGAATGCCCAGGACTGTATCAACAAGACAATCTGCTCAGGTCTGTAACTCACTTCAACCTGGTGCTGCGGTGGGTGTGGCAATGGATCCAGTACTGCATCAGGAGCCTACGTCTCAAGAGCCAGCAGCTTTTGGTTTAAATGTTGGGGTAGATTGGTTGGTTGGTTGGTTGGTTGGTTGGATGGTTGGTTGGATGGTTGGTTTTGTTTGTTGGCTGATTGGCTGGTTAGTTTTCCTCAAGATTCCATGCACTGGGAACAGTTCCCAGAGTGCTGATAAGCTGATGGAACTTTCCCCAACTGGCTCTCAACAGCACATGCAGCCCTGAGGAGTGTCTTCCCTGGAAGCTGGAAGCTGACTGAGTTTTCTCTTGCCAAGAGAGTCTGCTCTACAGCTAGGGCATCATGCTTGCTGTTGGACTTTTAAAGTCTGTTCTAATAGCCTGTGCCTGTATTCCAGCCCTGGAAAGGCCAAGGCAAGAGATCACCCTGAACTTCAAAGACAGATCCTATTAAAAAAAATTCAAGGTCCCAAACTGCAAATAAAATATTTTTCCTTAAAGAGAGAGGGAGAGAAGATGGGAGAGGGAAAAGGAGAAAGGAGAAGGGAGAAGGGAGAAGGGAGAAGGGAGAAGGGAGAAGGGAGAGGGAGAGGGAGAGGGAGAGGGAGAGGGAGAGGGG